AGATAGATATTGAAAACAGGGCCTTGGGTGATAAGGCAGTAATAGGTTAGTAGAAAAATAATGAGCAGGAAGGGTAAAGAGAAAGGAGAGGGCTTTCAATGTTTATAAGCTAATTGCGTAGTGCTAGGAAAAGATGGACGAGTGAGATAGTTGCAGTGTAGGTAACATTGATTATTGCCTTAACTGAGACGTGGTTAATCAAAAAGTCGGACATGCCTGCGGAATTCATATTCAGGTTTAAAAATGTTCCAAGAAGTAGAAGTATTGGAGGGGGGTGGGGGATGTATTCCGAGATCGCTTAACTGTTGCATAAAAACGGTATTAAGTCTGAATAACACATACAGATCTTTGGGGTAGAATTTCAGAGGGGCAAAGAAAAACTGATTTAGGAGGATATACCGTCCCCCAAATAGATAGGGACCAAGGGAACTACTATGGAGGAAATGGTTAAGGCCACAAGCACGATAATGATAATTCTAGAGACTTAACTTAAATATGTTGATTGGAAATTTCTGAATGGGAAATTTGAATCATACACTTCTAGAAATATTCAGGATTTTTTTTGAAGCAGTTGGACAGAACCTACAAGGGGAAAAACTGCTTGACTTAAATTCTGGCAAACAATAATCCCTTTTTAATAATTTAAAAAATTTCAGAGGAACTGGGTGCTAGCACCACAAATAAATTTACATTTAGCATTGAATGGAAGTACGATAGTAGCGATAATTTCAGTAACAGTCCCAGATTTTCGTTTAGCAGATTACGATGGGCTTAGAGAACACTTATCTGTTGACTGGGTAACAAAAGAGAGCTATCAATATGACAGTTTTCTGAACACAATACATGCTGTTTCAAAGAGCGTTTATCCCATATAAAGAAATTAGATCAAATAGAAATGACCCAAAATGGATGAATAATAGGCTCAAATATCTACTAGGGCATAAGAAAGGAATTTATAGGCGTATCAAAAGAGTGAGGGTCATCCTTAATGAATCAGTATATTGACATTAAGAGGGACATTAAAAAGGGGATAAGAAAAGCAAAAGGGACTATGAAATTAAATTGCTAGGGATTCTAAAACTAACCCAAAAATTTTTTTCCAGGTCTATAGAAAAAAAAGTTAGAGATAAGATAGGTCCCCCCTTAAAAATAACTATGGGCACCTTACTGACAAAGAGAATGAAATGTGTTTGATTTTAAATAATTATTTTCTCTCATTTTTTTCACAGGGAAAACACTAACAATATTCCAGTAATTAATTTTTACAGTGGGCTAGAAGAAAATAAATTATGTAACATCAGCACTGGAGATGGTTGGAAGCGATAGGCAGACTAAAGCAAAATAAGGTCTCGGGTCCTGAAAGGTTTTTTAAAGGGGGTTTTTAAGGAATGCAAAAGGACTCTGTGAACATTAACAAAATTTTTAAATTTTAAATCTCTTCAAACGGTGTAGTTTTCTGAAGGGTGGAAGATGGCTATGTAATCCTATTTTTTAAAACAGGGACAAGTCGTTACCGTCAAATTACCGCCCAATAAGCCTGACCTCAATTGTAGGCAAATTACTAGAGTCAATTATAGCTGAGATTATAAGAAGCCACTCGATAAGCATAGCTTGATTAATGATACTCACATGGATTCACAAGAGGCCGGTCTTTTCTAACTAATTTATTTTAAATTTCTTTCAGTAAAGCTTTGAGGCTGTTGACCACAATAAGAATTTTATATTATTTACTTAGATTTTAGTAAGGCTTTTGATAGAGTTCCGCACCATAGACGTTAAAGAAAGTGGCAGCTCATGGCATGGGGGAAAAGTGCTCTCGTGGATCAGTCATGGCTCACTGACAGGAAGCAGAAGTGTCCATAAATGGGGTTAAATCCGATGGGGATCTGTAACAAGTGGCGTTCCACAGGGGGTCAGTCTTGGGCCCGTTGTTGTTTATAATATATATCAATGATCTTGATGAGGGAATTACTAGTGAAATGAGCAAATTCGCCGATGACACAAAGATAGGTAGGATAATTGATTCAAACGTAGATGTTATAGAACTTCAGGAGGATTTAAACAAACTCTATTCTTGGTCAGAAAAGTGGCAGATGCAGTTCAATGTAGATAAATGCAAGGTTCTGAAGCTTGGGAGTGCCCATAACCCTAGTACTTATAAGTTAAATGATGTAGAACTTAGCCATACAGATTGCGAAAAGGACTTGGGGGTTATGGTGAGCAGCAACCTTAAACCAAGACAGCAATGCCTAAGCGTACGCAATAAGGCAAATAGATTACTGGGATTTATATCAAGAAGTGTAAGCAACAGAAGTCCAGAGGTCATACTGCAGCTTTATACATCATTAGTAAGGCCTCACCTAGATTATGCAGCTCAGTTCTGGTCTCCGTATTACAAAATGGACATAAATTCGTTAGAAAACATTCAGCGTAGGATGACTAAATTAATACATAGCATTAGAAATCTTCCTTATGAAGAAAGATTGAAGACTCTTAAGTTACATTCACTTGTTAGACGAAGAATGAGGGGAGACCTGATCGAAGTGTATAAGTGGAAGATAGGTATTAATAAAGGGGATATTAATAAGGTCTTGAGGATGTCTCTCCAAGAGAGAACCCGCAGTAATGGATTTAAATTAGATAAGTTTACATTTAGAAAGGACATAGGAAAGTATTGGTTTGGAAATAGGGTAGTTGATGAGTGGAACAGTCTACCTAGTTGGGTTATTGAGGCTGGGACTTTGGGTAGTTTCAAATTTAGGTTGGATAAGTACATGAGTGGGAGGGGTTGGATTTGAGTGGGACTTTCACATCAGAGCTTATTTCTTGGGTGGCATTGAAAATTGGGTTGGGCAAATGTTTTGTTAGTGGGATGAATGGTTAAGGACCTGCCTAGTATGGGCCAGCAGGCCTCCTGCAGTGTTCCTCCTTTCTTACTACTACTACTACTACTACTACTTACTACTACTACTACTACTACTACTTACTACTACTACTACTTACTACTACTACTACTTACTACTACTACTACTTACTACTACTACTACTACTTACTACTACTACTACTTACTACTACTACTACTTACTACTACTACTACTACTACTTACTACTACTACTACTTACTTCTACTACTACTACCACCACCACCTGCCTATATATACCCTTCCCACTGTCCTTTTCGTTAGTGTGACTTTCTCAAAGGTCCAAGTCGGACCAAAACGTCGTCGTAAGCTCCTCTCTTCTACATGTGGGTTATTTGTGTATCATTCTGTAGTAATGCTAGTGGGGATTTCAAAGTGAAGCCTTTACTAGTGCATTACTCGGAAAATCCCAGAGTGTTCAAGAAAAACAGTGTTGCCAAGAGTAAATTGTGTGTGATGTGGAAGGCTAGCAGTAAGGCATGGGTCACAAGGGAAATTTTCCTTGATTGGTTCAATGAAGTGTTTGGCCCTAGTGTGAAGAAATACCTCCTGGAAAAGAAATTGGAACTTACGTGCCTCCTGGTAATGAATAATGCACCTACTTATCCTCCAGACTTGGATGACCAAATTGTGGAGGGGTTTTGTTTCATCACAGTGAAGTTCTTGCCTCCTAATACCACTCCTCTCCTCCAGCCCATGGACCAGCAGATCATTTCAAACTTCAAAAAACTCTACACCAAAGCAGTGTTTCAAAGGTGCTTTGATGTGACCTCAGACACTCGGCTGACCCTAAGAGAGTTTTGGGAAGATCACTTCAGTATCCTCCATTCCATAAACCTTATATGTAAGGCTTGGGAGGGAGTGACTTCCAGGACTTTGAACTCTGCTTGGAGAAAGCTGTGGCCAGATTGTGTCCAAGAGAGGGATTTTGAAGGGTTTGGGTCAGACCCTGAGGACCCTATGCCAGTTGTGGAATCTATTGTGGCATTGGGGAAGCCTATGGGGTTGGATGTGAGTAGCGAGGATGTGGAAGAGTTGGTGGAGGACCACAATGAAGAGCTAACCACTGAAGAGCTGCAAGAGCTTCATCTGCAACAGCAACAGACCACAGCTCAGGAAACTGCTTCAGAGGAGGAGAGAGAGAGATGGAAGAAGGTGCCTTCTTCAGAGATCAAGGACATCTGTGCAATGTGGAGTAGGATGGAAAGATTTGTGGAGGAATATCACCCTGACAAAGCTCTTGCAAGCCATGTTGGCAACATGTACAGCGACAATGTCTTGTCCCGTTTTAGGGAAATTTTAGAGAGATGCCAGAAACAGAGCTCTCTGGACAGATATTTAGTGCCACAGGTGTGCAGTGACTCTCAAGCTGGTCCGAGTGGCATTGAAAAACAAAGAAGGGATGTAACCCTGGAAAAGCACTTGGTACATGAAATCTTTATGGAAGGGGATTTCCCTTCCAAACAGTAATTAATCCATCCTTTCCCCTCCTCCCGTCTTCCATACACTAAGAAGAATCGTCAATAACAGTAAGAGCCATGCTATTATTGTTTATTCTTCATGTCTCATTGTTTTCTGTGTATGTAAATGTATATTTCATGTAAAAAATTTTGTTTTAATACTTTTGGGTGTCTGGAACAGATTAACTTAATTAACATTATTTCTTTTGGGGAAAATGGTTTCACAAATTGTCAGTTTTGATATTAGTCACACTCTGGAATGGATTAATTACATAAAACAAGGGGTCCACTGTACTGCAAAAAAGCAAAACTGGGCTAGGCTAGTTACTACCACCACTTGCAGAACATTCCATTTTTTCCCTCATCATATGACTGTGACCACATGTTCTCAGTGTTAGGAAATTCTCATTATCAATTCTTTTGTATCCTTTTATAATCTTTTATCCTCTGTGGGTAAAAGAAGAGAGATGTGATAAGCACATAATTTCTCTAATATTACCCAATGCAATTTTACTTTTATAAACCCCTCTTATTAGTTATATAGCTTTTACAGTTTTATGTTTTTGATCATGTAGTGTTATAAAGAATAGTATTTATTATTTCTGGAGTATATTTCAGCAAGCTAACACAAGCAAGCAGAAAAGAGATGGGGATCAAGTTCTAGAAGTTGGAGAATTTGTCTCATTCTATCATGCATTACTGAAAATGCCAGAAATTGAAAAATTGTTCAAAAAGTAAGTATGAATTTATGTAATAAAGTACAAAGACTCTCCTACATATGAACATTTGTGTTGCGAACTTTTGATAATAGGAACAGTTTGCTCTGAAGTCGAAAATTTGGGTGTAAGATTTAGTTCGCAGTCCACTGCATGGTGGCAGCAATGTGGCTCAGGAAGCTCTGAGAGGTAAACAATACATAGTAGGTTACTCTAGCGGCATCGTTCATACGTGTGCTTGGCCACCACCCAGACATTCCTAGACCACTTCTTCAAGAGGGTGGACAAAGGTAACAAGTCTCACCAGAGCCTGAGTCATGGTAAGATATTCAGGCCAACACCTTCTCACCATCTGCTTTATTAAAATTAGATTATTTCCAAACTTTATTATAAACATTATAAACTTCACTTCATTTATAACACATGTTATGTTGGACTCGGAACAAATGGACTTGAAAATGACCGCCCGGAACCAAACCTGTTCATAAGTGGGAGAGTATCTGTATCTTTTCCATAATTAATTTTAATATACTTCCATTTAGTAATTATTATCATTAGTTTAATTCAATGTGGAAATGGTGTACCATAATATTTTCTATTGCTGCTCTTCCCCCCCTTCCCTCCACCCACCCTACTGTGGGTCACCCGATTATGGTGGCAGGATTGGAACCACCCAAGTGCCTGGATGAGAAAGCAGCAACCCATTTTATGGCCTAAATAGCAGGAGATTTTTCCTTAAGAAAATATTGACACTTCGTCTATGATCTGGAGTGAAGTTTGGTCATGATTTGGAATGCAACTACCTATACTACTTACCTATATTGGGTGACCCTGTGGCCTGGCTGGCAAAGCTCTCGCTTCACACACGGAGGGCCCAGGTTCAATTCCCGGAGGGGTAGAAACATTTCTGTGTGTTTCTTTACACCCGTTGTCCTGTTCACCTAGCAGCAAGTAGGTACCTGGGTGTTAGTTGACTGGTGTGGGTTGCATCCTGGGGTACTTGATGATGCACTGCCTTTCTTGGGTTATCCTGGGTGGCTAACCATGCAGGGTTAAAAATCCAAACGAAATCTCACTTAGATTTTTATGGAAAAAATTGCAAGATACTGAGAAAGTCTGCAACATAAAGTTGTAAGTGCAAAAATAGGTAAGTTTAAAACATGGAAAAAGAAAAGCTTGCAAATATTGAATTGGGGTGTTTGCTGTGGTTATTGTATCCCTGACATTACTTCATGAATGACCTGCTGACCTTGAAGTAAATGGAACATAATAGTAATGATGGCTGTAGCTGGCACCACCAATCCCATTATATATATGCAAGTTTTTTCAATATGACATAGTTATTCTTTATATTTAGTTATTTATACAGGCAATGAGATAGAATATAAACTTTTGGGTGGGTTTAGAGTGAAGAGCCATCTGCTATGTTGTAATCTCTGCCATCTAAGAAAAATCAAGGCAGCTCAATTGTAGTTAGCCCTTGCTGACAGATAGCCTCTATTTAGACTGTGTTGTTTTGCTACCTATCTTTCCCATATACTCTCATTGCATCATTGTCTAGAGTAGTACCTTGTATTATAGATATCTTTTTTTCTTTTGTAATTTTAATATACATGCTTTTTCATTCACATCCTAGAAGTTTCTATAGCATTTATGATATATTTATTAATGTCTAACAGATATGCAAGTGAGAAGACTCAGCTAATGAGTGCAGACCAACTATGTGCCTTCCTCCATAAAGAGCAAGGTCTCACTGAGTTGGATGCTACACATAGCACCAAACTCCTTAATGAATTTGAAATTAGTGACCTTAAAGTCCAAGGCTATATGACACAAGATGGTAAGTGATTCTTCATTTCTTGTCTGCATTTCCTTGTTCCCACATGAAGCTGTCCATTTTAAAGATGGCCAGTTACAGAAGGCAAAGATTTTCCAAAATAGTTCTGCATTCTTATTATCTTCTTTAAAAGTAAAGTAATCACCATTGTGCTGAACTCAGCACAAGTGTGCAAAAGTGGTTTATCAAAGATTACCAATAAAAAAAATTTTGATTAAAATATGTTATTTGCTCCAAATTAGATATTGAATCTGTAACTTCCTATTTTAATTTATGGCAGTTTACCTCTTATTGCCATTTTCTAGACATATTATGTACACTTTACATTGAAAACAATATTTTGACAAGGAATAGACTAAATTTCTCATAACCTATAAGTATATTTATATAGTAATTGACAAATATTTGCCTTTCTGCAGGATTTTACCACATGCTGCTCTCAGATATGTTTGATGCATTCAACTATGAACATAAAGAAAAGGTTCACCAAGATATGACAAAACCACTCGCACATTACTACATCTCCTCCTCCCATAACACGTAAGAATTATGAATTTTAAGGTATTCAATTGATGTCTGGAAGTCTTGCTTGGTTATTAAGGCATGAAGTACAGTGGTCACTAAACATACTCAGTTAACTGTAGCAGCAATTAACTAAAACTTTCCTGTTCAGATGGCAGGTTTAGGTAACTGCCAGATTTAAAAACAAATTAAGTTTCTTTAAACCAGCCCATATCTGCCTTAATCCAACATTTGTTTTTGAGGTTATCCATAGAAATGATGAATGAAAAAAGGTGAGTGGTGCTTTGAGGTGTCTGTGGAGGTAAAAAAAAAAAAGGTCATCCATAGAGGCAAAGAAGGGAATGTCGGAGAGTATAGTGCCACCAACACTTATATGGTGTGAAGCATGGGTTGTAAATGCTGTAGCAAGGAGGAGGCTGAAGGCAGTGGAGATGTCATGTCTAAGAGCAATGTGTGGTGTAAATATTATGCAGAGAATTTGTAGTTTGGGTGGAAATTAGGAGGTGTGGAGTTATTAAAAGTATTACTCAGAAAGCTGAAGAGGGGTTGTTGAGGTGGTTTGATAATTTGGAGAAGATGGAACAAAGTAGAATGACTAAGAGAGCATATAAATCTGTAGTGGAAAGAAGGTGGAGGTAGGGGTCGTCCTAGGAAAGGATGGAGGGAGGGGGTAAAGGAGGTTTTGTGGGCAAGGGGCTTGGACTTCCAGCAAGTGTGTGAGTTAGATAGGAGTGAATGGAGACGAAGGGCTTTAGGGACCTGATGAGCTGTTGGAGTGTGAGCAGGGTAATACACCTACCATCCGACTTATGACCTGCTCGACATACGACCATCCGACTTATGACCTGCTCGACATACGACCATTCGACTTATAACCTTATTTTTTATGCCAAATTTTTGGGAAATAAACTGTTTGTGTTGTACACAGTGTTTATCCTAAGCCTTACAGTATAAAATACAGTACTAACAGCATAAAAAGTAAAGTAAAAAATGAAATACCAAAATAAAACAATAAAATAAAGTCATTACAAAAATGTGATGTTGATATTCAGTAGTAAGGTTCGACTTACATCCATTTCGACTTACGATCGGTTTCTCGGAACCGAACTCGGTCGTAAGTCGGATGGTACCTGTATTTTGTGAAGGGATTCATGGAAACTGGTTAGCTGGGCTTGAGTCCTGGAAATGGGAAGTACAATGCCTGCACTTTAAAGGATGAGTTTGGGATATTGGCCATTTGGAGTGACATCTAAACTGTCGTATCTGAGCGCCTCTACAAAAACAGTTAATGTGTGTGAATGATGGTGAAAGTGCTGAACAATGATGAAAGTTTTTTCTTTATTTTTGGGTCACCCTGCCTTGGTGGGAAATGGCCAACGTGTTAAAAAAAAACACGCACACACACAGAAAAAAAAAGAGAAAGCAAGAGAAAGAGAAAGAAAAAGCAAGAGAAAGCTCTGAAAATTGCCGGCTCTATGCTACGTCTCCTCAGTGATTACCTTCATGATAGATCTCTAAGGGTAGTTCTCAATGGAACAGAATCAGTAAGACATCCTATTGGGGCAAGTATTCCACAAGGAATCATTCTGGGACCATTGTTATGGAATGTCTACTTCAACCACCTTCTTCATCTCATCCCAGAATCCCATGTACATGACTGTACACTGATATTCACTTATCCAAGAGAAGAAATGCCAGCTGCTCTAAGCTACATCAATTACCAGCTAAGAGCTGTATCTGCTTGGGGAAATAGATGGCAAGTAACATTTGCATCTGAGAAACCACAAATGATGATTTCTAGGCACCATGATGATGATGCCGGTGCAGAAGTAAGGATGAATGAGAGGGTGTTGGCACCTGGGGAAGAAGTTGATATCCTTGGGGTGAAATTCAACTCCAAACTGACCATGAAAAACCATGTTGTAAATCTTGCAAACAAGGCAGCCAGGAAGCTTACAGCGCTTCGCCGTATCTTGCATCTGCTTGACAGTAGGGGTTGCTGTATAGCCCTTGTGGCTTAGCGCTTCTTTTTGATTATAATAATAATAATTGACAGTAGGGGTTGCAAGATTTTTGTATGAGGCACAAGTACACTCACACCTTGAGTATGCTCCACTTTCTTGGTTCGCCTGCCCTTTCTCATCTGCGACTGCTTGACAGAATAGAGAACAGAGCAAGACGTCTCATCTGTGGCCTGGACCAATCCTGGATAGATCTGTCATTTCAGCAGAGCCTTCAACACAGGAGGGATGTGGGTGGCCTTACTGTTATGTAAAAGGCCAATATTGTCAAAGTACCACACTTGGATCCACTTCGAGGACAGCGTGAAGCAAACTTCTATACCACAAGACAGGCAGAAAGCAGCAACTTCACTTTGGCTGTACCCTTCTCCAGAACATTACTTCATCTGGGATCATTTACCCCCCAGGATGACTCGAGTATGGAACACATTCGTACAGTATTATGTCAACGAGATAAAGTCAGTTGGTGAGATGAAAATGCTGGCCCACCGATGGCTCCAACTTCATCCTGTTCCCTACTTGTATGTTTCATAACAATAAAAATGCTTACAAATGAGCTGATGTAGGTAACAGCTCTTAGCTTGTCAATAAAGTTAGGAATCCTTAACCTGTAAATAGGTTGTCAATAAAGCTAGGGATCCTTAACCTAACCTTGTCAAACCCTGTGTTAAAAAAAAGAGAGAGAGAGGGAGGGAGAGAAAAAGAGAGAGAAAGAGAGAAAGAAAGAGAGAGAAAGAAGCATGCTGGGACCATTGTTATGGAATGTCTACTTCAATGACCTTCTTCTCATCCCAGAATCCCATGCATATGCAGACGACTGAACACTGACATTCACTTATCCAAGAGAAGAAATGCCAGCTGCTCTAAGCTACATCAATCACCAGCTAAAAGCTATATCAGCTTAGGGAAACAGATGGCAAGTAACATTTGCACCTGAGAAAATGCAAATGATGATGGTCTCTAGGCACCATGATGATAATGCTGGTGTAGTAGTAAGGATGAATGGGAGGGTGCTGGCACCTGGAGAAGAAGTTGATATCCTTGGGTTGAAATTTGACTCCAAACTAACCATGAAGAACCATGTTGTAAATCTTGCAAACAAGGCAGCCAGAAAGCTTACAGCACTTTGCTGTATCTCACATCTGCTTGACAGTAGGGGTTGCAAGATTCTGTACGAGGCACAAGTACGCTCACACCTTGAGTATGCTCCACTTTCTTGGTTTGCCTGGCCCCCCTCTCATCTGCGACTGTTTGACAGTGTAGAGAACAGAGCAAGACGTCTCATCTCTCGCCTGGACCCATCCTGTATAGATCTGTCATTTCAGCAGAGCCTTCAACACAGGTGTGATGTAGGTGGCCTTACTGTTATGTACAAGGCCAATATTGTCAAAGTACCACACTTGGATCCACCTCGAGGACAGTGAGAAACAAACTTTTATGCCACAAGACGGGCAGAAAGTAGCAGCTTCACTCTGGCTGTACCCTTCTCCAGAACATCACTCCATCTGAGATCATATATACCCAGGATGACTTGAGTATGGAACACATTCGTATAGCATAATGATGTCAACGAGATAGTCAGTTGATCAAATGAAAATGCTGGCCCACAGATGGCTCCAACTTCATCCTGTTCCATACTTGTGTGTCTCATAATAAAAATGCTTTCAAGTGAGCTGATGTAGGTAACAGCTCTTAGCTTGCCAATAAAGTTAGGAATCCTTAACCTGTAAATAGCTCGTCAACAAAGCTAGGGATCCTTAACCTAACCTTGTCAAACCTTGTGGAAAAAAAAGAGACACAGACAGAGACAATGTTTATGTGTAATGGTGAAAACAAATGAAGCCAAGGCAGTGTACGATCATCAAATGTCACTGCACTGTCAGCAGTGGAGTGACACTCGTCTTACACCTTGCTTCAAGAAAAATTATTAGGAGTGAAGAAGAGCAGATTGTAAGTGTGGTGGAGGTACGTGAGGCATTACGTAGAATGAAAGCAGCTGGAACTGATGGGATCATGACAGAAATGTTAAAAGCAGGGGGATGATATAGTGTTGGAGTGGTTGGTACTTTTGTTTAATAAATGTATGAAAGAGGGGAAGGTACCTAGGGATTGGCGGAGAGCATGTATAATCCCTTTATATAAAGGGAAAAGGGACAAAAGAGATTGTTAAAATTATAGAGGAATAAGTTTACTGAGTATACCAGGAAAAGTATACGGTAGGGTTATAATTGAAAGAATTAGAGGTAAGACAAAATGTAAGATTGCGGATGAGCAGGGAGGCTTCAGAGTGGGTAGGGGATGTGTAGATCAAGTGTTTACATTGAAGCATATATGTGAACAGTATTTAGATAAAGGTAGGGAAGTTTATATTACATTTATGGATTTAGAAAAAGCATATGATAGAGTGGATAGAGGAGCAATGTGGCAGATGTTGCAAGTACAGTGGACCCCCGGTTAACGATATTTTTTCACTCCATAAGTATGTTCAGGTGCCAGTACTGACCGAATTTATTCCCATAAGGAATATTGTGAAGTAGATTAGTCCATTTCAGACCCACAAACATACACGTACAAACGCACTTACATAATTGGTCGCATTCGGAGGTAATCGTTATGCGGGGGTCCACTGTATATGGAATTGGTGGTAAGTTACTAAATGCTGTTAAGAGTTTTTATGAGGATAGCGAGGCTCAGGTTAGGGTGTGTAGAAGAGAGGGAGAATACTTCCTGGTAAAAGTAGGTCTTAGACAGGGATGTGTAATGTCACTATGGTTGTTTAATATATTTATAGATGGGGTTGTAAAAGAAGTAAATGCTAGGGTGTTCGGGAGAGGGGTGGGATTAAATTATGGGGAATCAAATTCAAAATGGGAATTGACACAGTTACTTTTTGCTGATGATACTGTGCTTATGGGAGATTCTAAAGAAAAATTGCAAAGGTTAGTGGATGAGTTTGGGAATGTGTGTAAAGGTAGAAAGTTGAAAGTGAACATAGAAAAGAGTAAGGTGATGAGGGTATCAAATGATTTAGATAAAGAAAAATTGGATATCAAATTGGGGAGGAGGAGTATGGAAGAAGTGAATGTTTTCAGATACTTGGGAGTTGACGTGTCGGCAGATGGATTTATGAAGGATGAGGTTAATCATAGAAATGATGAGGGAAAAAAGGTGAGTGGTGCGTTGAGGTATATGTGGAGTCAAAAAACGCTATCTATGGAGGCAAAGAAGGGAATGTATGAAAGTATAGTGCTACCAACACTTGTATGGATGTGAAGCTTGGGTGGTAAATGCAGCAGCGAGGAGACGGTTGGAGGCAGTGGAGATGTCCTGTTTAAGGGCAATGTGTGGTGTAAATATTATGCAGAAAATTCGGAGTGTGGAAATTAGGAGAAGGTGTGGAGTTAATAAAAGCATTAGTCAGAGGGCAGAAGAGGGGTTGTTGAGGTGGTTTGGCCATTTAGAGAGAATGGATCAAAGTAGAATGACATGGAAAGCATATAAATCTATAGGGGAAGGAAGGAGGGGTAGGGGTCGTCCTCGAAAGGGTTGGAGAGAGGGGGTAAAGGAGGTTTTTATGGGCGAGGGGCTTGGACTTCCAGCAAGCGTGCGTGAGCGTGTTAGGAGTGAATGGAGACGAATGATACTTGGGACCTGACGATCTGTTGGAGTGTGAGCAGGGCAATATTTAGTGAAGGGATTCAGGGAAACCGGTTATTTTCATAGTCAGACTTGAGTCCTAGAAATGAGAAGTACAATGCCTGCGCTTTAAAGGAGGGGTTTGGGATATTGGCAGTTTGGAGGGATATGTTGTGTATCTTTATATGTATATGCTTCTAAACTGTTGTATTCTGAGCACCTCTGCAAAAACAGTGATAATGTGTGAGTGTGGTGAAAGTGTTGAATGATGAAAGTATTTTCTTTTTGGGGATTTTATTTCTTTTTTGGGTCACCCTGCCTCGGTGGGAGACGGCTGACTTGTTGAAAAAAAAAAAAGTGTCCAAAACATTGCTGGGACCTATAAACACTATGTATATATTTCTAGACAATGGTATGTGACTAAGGTAGGTGAAAATGTTCACCTGTCACTGTGTTTGTGACTATTTGAGTACTATTTCAGTACCTAATATTAGTGTCAGGACGAAGATTGGCTATGAAATCACAAAAACTACTACAAATTGTAATTATCAGAGCACAAAAATTATATAAATTAAAAAAAATGAGAAAAATAGGTATATCGGCAACACTTCTGCAAGTGGCAGTGCTTCATGTTGCTATCAGGTGAGCAGCAAGCGCCGATTTTGTGGCCTTATATCTCCATAAGTACCGACTCAAATTTTTTTTATTTACATAATGTAAAAAATGTCCTTTTTATTAAAAAAAAAATCAAAATATTCGGAGTGCTGGGCGAGAGAATATAGCTCTAATAAGAAAGGCTAAGCAATTGTACTACTACAATAGATTCATTGAAACAAGAGGAGATATAAAAAAGACCTAGAAGACACACTCTCAGATTCTGGGTACCCACAAACTGAAAAAAACTAGGGATATTGTCCTAACTAAACCAAATGAAACCCAACCACAGCCAATTCATACAGTTAACAAGATAAATGACTTTCTCAACCATAGGATCAAATCTCACCAGCAAAATCCCAGGTACTGATGCCCAAGCAAGCGATTACTTACATGGGAATTTCCCAACGTCCTCCTGTCTTGCACCAACCAAGCCCACAAAAGTTGCCACAATTATTAAGTCACTTAAAAATAAATCAGGAAATCTGGCTCAAATTCCTTCATTGTACAAACGAGCGGCTCATGTTCTTTCGCCTGCTATTTCATTACTCTTCAACAAATCACTAGAAACCAGCACTTTCTTGACATTACTCAAGACAGCAAGGGTTACATCAATACACAAAGGTGGTGACTCAACAGATGTAAAAAACTACAAGCCACTATCAAACTTACTGTTGCTATCCAAAATCTTCAAGAAACTTGTGCACAAGAGATTATATTCCTTTATAACAGCACAAAGCATCCTCAACCCCTGCCAATGTGGCTTCAGGAAAAGCAGAAGCACAAACAACACAACTGTAAAAATGCTAGACCTGCTTTACACAGCACTTGAAAAATAATGAATATCCATTAGGACTCTCTACCTAAGGAAGGCTTTTGATACAGTAGACCACAGCATTCTACTCCACAAATTTGATCATTATAGCATGAGAGGCCACACACTTAAACATTTCAAATCCTACCTTACTAACAGGCATCAATACATCTCTATTAAGGACAACTTCATCAATAAGACCACTGGATACTGGAGTACCACAGGAATGTGTTGTTGGTCCCCTGCTCTTCCCCTCGTACATCAATGATCTTCCTAGTGTGTCACAACACTTCAAACCTATTCTCTTTGCTGACGACACAACTTATGTCATCTCCCACCCTAATCTTGCATCACTCAACACTATTGTTAACGAAGAGCTTGTAAAAATATCGACCTGGATGACTGCTAATAAGCTTACACTTATTGACAAAACCTTCTACATTGTTTGGGAACTGAACAGGTGTTTCCCCATTGTACATAACAATTGACAAAACACTAATTGCTAAACGTAATGAGGGCAAATTCCTGGGCCTGCACCTTGACAGCAACCTGAAATTCAACAACCAGATCAAACAAATAATAAAAAAAGTATCCAAAACAAATGGGATCCTCTCCAAGATAGGTTACTATGTACCACAATCAGTGCTACTCACACTTACACTATTCACTCATCTATCCCTACCTCACCCATGCTACGTGTGCCTGGGGATCAACAGCAGCAACTCACCTAAAGCCAATAATAACCCAACAGAAAGCTGCAGTAAGAATTATCACGCAATCCAGTGCTAGACAACCCCCTCCCCCCCACTCTTTGCAGACCTAAACCTACTCACTGTAGAGAGCATTCACACCTGCTACTGTGCAGCCTACATTTACAGAATCATAAATTCTAATATTAATCCTGAACTAAAACACTTGCTTGATAGTTGCAACAGGACCCATAGACACAATATCAGACACAAAAATCTCTGATATTCCTCTTGTCCGGCTTAACCTCTACAAAAATTTGACGTACATAAAAGGGGCCTAAAATCTGGAACTCCCTACCTGAAAACTATAGAACTGCAGACTCCACCACCAATTTCAAAATTACCGTTAAAAAACATCTCATCTCCCTAACACACCCCATCATCAGCTAACCAAATGAAAACTACCTAATTCTCATTTTTTTGTATCATGAACACATCCAAAACAATATAGTCTTATTCTCGTTATCTGTAATTCCCCCTAAGTTACATTTACACTCGCCCAAATGACTGTAAACATAATATAGCTATTGCCTATTAAATCTTGGAAGATACTCTTCCAATATAGGAGCTTTAATAGAAACATTGTACAGTATCATGCCAAGACAAATTCAGTCCCATTACTAAATTTACCATTTGTAATATTTTTGTTTTATACTACCTCACTGTTATAAATCTAATTACGTAAATTAATTATGTATCTAATTATGTATGTATATAATGTTTGTTCAAATGTACTGCTCCATAACCTATATCAATATAGAGTAAGAATTAATATTAGTCTGCCTGAAATGCCTTGGCATGCTAGTGGCTTTCTTTTTAGTTAATACCTTATAACATAAAAACCACACATTGTAAGCTTTACAAGGAAATAAACATTGTAATTTGATTTAAATTATGCATATTCACAGTAAACATATTAACCTTTCTTGGTTTAATATATCTGCATGTGGAAAGTTTTAGGAAAATCTTTATTATAGTAATCATTGTTGCTTTAAAAATTATTATAGTATTTTGGATACAGTAAAAAATCTAATTTAATTTCATTATGTTAAGTTCTAATTGCATAATGTGTGATTTTCTACAATCTTTATAAAACAGGTACTTGACTGGACATCAGTTTGCTGGGGAGAGCAGTGTTGAGGGCTACATAAGTGCACTTAAGCGGGGTTGTAGGCTTCTTGAATGTGAGTATACTGTTCCTGCATATATTTTTTCCTATAATAGGAAAAAATTACTGTAGTAATTAGCAAAAAAAATAAACATTACCCTACCCAGTATATGTAAGCAGGCTCCCTGTAGCATTTTGTATTTCCCACCAAAGTACAACTCCTGTACTTTTAGGTTTAGGAGCCTGGTGTCACCCAGAGCTCAGGACACATGTTCCTTGCCCATCCACAGCTCCCATCTTCTAGGGACATGGCCCTGTCTACCACTACACACACTGCCTGGTGATTTTTCAACATGATTTTGCAACCTGGTACCACCTTACTCTCCTGAGCAATAGCATTATGAGTAGCTAGTCTTTCCTGCATTTTCTGAAAGACTAGCTGGGAAGGTTGCATCTTAATGGCAGTGAAATTGTCAGGATCATCGACAGGTTAAGGAAAATCAAACAAAATTAAACGAGATGTCACCAATCGAGCTGTTGTATGAAGATTTTAGGGCACACTGCACATCTGGAATGGCATGATCCCATGTGGTACAACTCTGATCGATAGTTTCCCTAAGCACAGAGGAAAGGTCAGCCAAGGAATGAGGACCGGTCAGGGGCATGTCCTGAGCTTCGGGCAACAAAGGGGTCACAAACCCAAAAGCACTCAAGTCATGCCATGATAGGAAATGTAAAATGCCACAGGGAGCCTGTTTACATATACCAAGTTGCCTTTTAGCAAATATTTTCATTGTTGGTATTTAGTTTTTATGCTGATGCAACAAAGACAGCAATTGAAATAAATAAATAAATAAAGGTTCATCCTACTTTTGTGGGAGATAGTCATTGTGTTGAAAATATAATGGGCAAGACCATGTTTAGTGCATAGGAGCAACTAGAGGCTACCACCTAGGAGTCATTCATGACACATTATACAGCATATGTTAGGCCCGTACTGGAAAATGCAGCATCATTATGGAACTAATACCTGATCAAGCCTGTCAGGAAATTGGAGAAAGTGAAGAGGCTAGCTTTACTACTGCTTTTTCTGATAAGTTATTTTATTGAGTTACAAGTAAGCCCCTCTACTACATTATGGTATTTATTTTTTTAATTTGTAAATAGCATTATCACCGAGCTGTAATTCTGAATATTTTTGTGATTAACAGTATTTTCTGACTGGACTATTTTGGTATTGACCCAGACCTAATTGAATTTTTTTAATATTCTCTGGAAATTAAATCAGATACATTTTTGTACAGTGGATTTGTGGGATGGAGATGAGGGGGAACCAATCATCTACCATGGTCACACATTAACTTCTAAAATCACACTTGCTGATGTTCTCCGTGATGGTATCAAGACTTACGCTTTTGAGGCCTCTCCTTATCCTGTCATTCTCTCTATTGAGAATCATTTAAGTGTGGAACAACAGAAGGTGATGGTGAAGCTGCTGAAGGATATCCTTGGAGGTACATCACCATTATATGATTTAAATAGTATCTTTTAGATGATTATTAATCATAAGCATGTATACAATTTAATTATTGCTCTGCCAGTGTTTTTTTTAAGTCTGCAATGTAGATTTAATCATATTGCTTTCATCAGCTTGAGTGTTTGACAGTAATTTTTTTTTTTTTTTTTTTTTTTTTTAAATGTCAGATATGCTTGCAACTGAACCTGTCCCAGAAGACATTACAGCTGTACCTTCTCCAGAGGCACTAAAGAACAAAATCATCATCAGAGGAAAAAAACCTCAAGGTAAAACTGTTGTTGAGTCATGATGATAATGATAAGTGTAAGAAATTTCTTTAGTTTATAATTATTGATACAGAAGAAAAGATTGCTAGCCCCTTCCTCCCAGCAGTTAGTTACCTTCTGTGACTCACCGTCTTTATTGAGGGTGTCTAACCCACTTTCTCCATGGAATTTGAAAGGAAACATTACAGTATCTATTAAGAAATTCATACAAAAACTCAGATTATGGAGAGGAGTAAGAGTAAGGGGGTTTTCCTAGGAGGAGTTAGAGAGAAGGGTTCATAAAGGAGGCTTTGAGTGCTCAGGGCTTAAACATGAACAGGTTTGTGTGAGTGCATTAGACTGGACTGAGTTAATGCAAGTGGTTCTTGTGATGTGCTGTTGAAGTGTGGTCAAGGAAGCATTCATGAAGGGATTCACGGAAATTGGTTTGTTGGACTTGTGTCCTGGAGGTGGGAGGTACAGTGCCTTCACTCTTAACCCTTTGACTGTCGCGGCCGTATATATACGTCTTACGAGGTACCGTGTTTGACGTATATATACTCATAAATTCTAGCGGCTTCAAATCAAGCAGGAGAAAGCTGGTAGGCCCACATGTGAGAGAATGGGTCTGTGTGGTCAGTGTGCACCATATAAAAAAAATCCTGGAGCACGCAGTACATAATGAGAAAAAAAAAACTACGATCGGTTTTTTTAATTAAAATGCCAACTTTGTGGTCTATTTTCGTATAGTATTTATGGTTGTATTCTCGTTTTCTTGGTCTCATTTGATAGAATGGAAAACATATTATAGAAATAGAGGTGATTTTGATTGATTTTACTATAAAAAGAACCTAGAAACGGAGCTCAAATTAGGGGAAATGTTTGATTTTTGCCAATGTTCAAAAGTAAACAAATGATGCCATTGTCCAATAAATGTCCAACTAGCCATTCTGATATGCAGTCATGAATGGGTTGATGTTATTTATACAATTATTACAGTATTGCAGTAGTCTGCATAATAGTAAGTCTTCTATTTTTTGTTTGAATAAAAATTCAAAATAGAAAGCAAGAGTAATATCAGAGGGGCCTGGAGACATGACTGATGAGCAAAGAAAATGTTATTTTAGAGCCAAGAATGTCTGCATTGTTCATTCTGGGCCTTATTTTGAAATTGTCATATTTTTTAGTTTTCGTGAAATTGGCCAAATTGCAAATTTCTGACCACATTATTAGGTAGTTGAAATCGGTAAATGGGCAGTTTCTTGTACTCAATCGATAGAAAAAATGGAGTTCTAAAGAAATAGCTATGAGTTTGGGCGACTGAAACAATGGAACTAGCCGAAAATAGGGCTCAAAGTGGGCGAAATCGCCGATTTGTAAACAGCGCCGAGGTCGCTAACTTCGCGAGAGCATAATTCTGTCAGTTTTCCATCAAATTTCGTTTTTTTTGGTGTCATTACAATCGGGAAAAGATTCTCTATCATTTCATAAGAAAAAATATTTTTTTTTTTTTTTTTAAATTTTGCGACACCAGGAGACACCTCAGAATTGGGGGTTGCGACAGTCAAAGGGTTAAGGATGGATTAGGATGTTCCAGTTCAAAGGGCTATTTGAACTATGATGTCAATATGTTTCTGGCAAAATAGCTATTGAATAAAAGATGGCAAATGGTCTCTGTCTTGATGGAAGTTGGCCATTGTGTTAAAAAATGTCACAGTAAGTACTGGCTTTGAGTAGTTGTAAAATTTACCTGTTATCTTTGTTTGAGAGAGAGAAAACAACAGTCCTACCAGTATAAAACATTTAAGATTTCTGTTTTGCTCTTATGACAGGACTCTCGAATCTAGTGCTTCCCTTGGTGATTGCTATCTAAACAGTGCCTGAAGTCAAGAGGAGGGGTGGGGATATTGTACTTATGATCATTTAGTTTATATCCATGCACTTGTACCCAAGACCTCTATTGAATGACTGATTTTATTTGTGGGGATATTTATAATTCTGTGTTAACAGTATACAAAGATCCTTTTTAAAATATTAATTTCCACAACTGATTCTTAGCAAACTTTATGAAAATTAAAATGGTAAGCATAGTAGGAATAATTTTATTTCTTAAATTACACAATTGCATCATTATTTTTAGGTGAGCTAAAAGACTAGTCTCTTTGTGCTTAACAATATTTTACTACATGTAAACTACACATTGTAAAGAAATGTAATTTTGAAAATCCATAAAGGTAAACTAAAATATTTAGATATGCATCTGCATGATCATAAATTTATTAGTCATGGTATATATTTTAATAGATTTTTTCATATGTTCCAGGTTCTGAAGTGGAATCTGATGATGATGATGATGACCAAGATACCATTGATTACATTGATAGTGATGATGGTGCTACACAAACTAAAAAGGTGGGACTATTATTTCCTGTACTGACACTTTCATTGATATGATTGGTAGTTATAATAATTGAATTGAATATTGTATAATTATACCTTGTTCTTGCATTGGTGAAATATGTTGAAATTGATTAATTACCAAATTTCTACTTTAATATCTGTGAAGTAAATACATTTATGAACATAAATAATTTACTGTTAAAACATTACAGTATAGGTGTGTATAAATCTGTAATACATTATGACACATGTTTCTCTAGCTGGCATGCTACTATTATAAGGTATACTGTATACTCCTACATACTAAGTAAACATTGTATTTAGAGAATGTTAAAATGCTTTGTATGCAATGTGTTGCACTTTTTCTTTTGGGAATGTTCGTAATGATGCTTGGTATGTAGAGTTTTATGCATTGTGTAGTACTTTGTGTATTCTGACATGTTTCACTATCTTAGCTCTGATTATGGGTATCAAGAACTTTGTCATACTACTTTGAAAACAATTACTATGGTTTAATTTGTATTCTGATGTTACCTTTAATGAAAACAACAGTAATCAGTCCAAGTGACTATCTCCTGACTGCAAGTAACTTTAGTACTTGTGATTCACCATGTAAATACCTTTATTTCTTACTGCTTGACTAGGATTTCTTCACTCCTCACCTTCAGACATTCTACCGCTCATTTAAGAGTTCTATGTGGGCTAGGCAAAACTCAACAAAGAAGCGCAGTGTATCACAGCAACCAGAACAGGTAGTATGACGATGTGACTACCCCTATAGTGGCCTGTATGATTTTCACTTTTAATATGCTTGCATGGAACATATCCATAGCTTAGTTTACTTATGTACTATATAATTCTAATTATCACTCTTTTAGAAATTGTTTAACATAGTTCAGAGAGTCATAACATTTGTTTATATAGTATCAGAGGTATAAGAAGTTCTCCTATTCCATAAAAGATTTCTTAATAATGCTTTCACCAATAAAATTAGGACGCATTCTGCAGTTATTTACACTCAGTGAGAGATGTTACGCTGAAATCTGTTTGCCAAGAAAAAATTTTCAACAAAGCTCGTTTTTCTGTGCTCCCATAAAATAATCATGGGGTTTCTTGTTATATAAAATTAACTTCCTCTTAGTTACATTTTTTGAAGGTGATGAATATATTTACTGGCTATGTGTAAACAGTGGTCCCTCGATAATCGTCGGGCTTGATAGTCGTCCTTTTGGGAAATCGTTGCGTTATTTTCATCCAAACATTGGCTCGCAAGTGGTCGGTTGACTCGCTAATCGTTGTTTGTCCTGGACGCGTACTCACGGCTCTGAGCCGCCTCAGCCTCCCTTCCCAGCCAGTGTGCCATTGTTTACCAGTGAGCTACGGTCCCCTCACTTGTTCATACGAAATATTTCATAATATTCCATTCATTTTAGTGCATGCAAGTGCTAAATAAACTATCATGGCTCCAGAGAAAGCTCCTAGTGCCAAGCCTTTGGTAAAGAAGGTGAGAAATATGATTGAATTTAAGAAAAACATGGTTGAACAATATGTAAGTGGCGTACGTGTGGCCGAACTATCTAGGATGTATAACAAACCCCATACAACCATATCTTCCATCGTGGCAAACAAAAAGGAAATCAAGAAAGCTGTTGTTGCTTGGAGAAAATTGTGGCCAGATTGTGTCCACAAGAGGGATTTGGAAGAGTTTGTGGCTGACCGTGATAAGCCTATGTCAGTTGTGAAATCTATTGTGGCATTGGGGAGTTCCATGGGGTTAGATGTGAGTTTGGAGGATGTGGAAGAGTTGGTGGAGGACCACAATGAAGAGCTAACCACTGAGGAGCTGCAAGAGCTTCAGCAGTAACAGCAACAGATAGCAGCTCAGAATCTTGCTACAGAGGAGGAGTAAGAGAGATGGAAGAAGGTACCTTCTTCAGAAATTAAGGAGATTTTTGAAATGTGGGGTAGGATGGAAAGATTTATGGAGAAAGATCACCCTGAGAAGGATGTTGCAAGCCATATCGGCAACTTGTACAGTGACAGAGTCTTGGCCCATTTTAGGGAAGTTTTAAAGAAACGCCAGAAGCAGAGCTCTCTGGACACTTTTTTTGTGACACAGGACTCAAGCGACTCTCAAGCTGGTCCTAGTGGCTTTAAGAAACAGAGAAGAGAAATATGTAATCCCAGAAATGGACTTGGTACCTGAGGTGTTGATGGAAAGGGATTCCCCTTCCAAACAGTAACTAATCCAATCTCTCTCCTCCTCCAGTCTTCCATACACTAAGAAGAATTGCCAATAAAGGTAAGTGTTATGCTGTTAATGTTTCATTCATCATGTCCCATTGTATTGTTTATGTACTACATCTATATTTCATGTAAAAAAAATTTTGTTTTAATACTTCTGGGTGTCGGGAACGTATTAATTGTACAGTGGACCCCCGGATAACGATATTATTTCAATCCAGAAGTCTGTTTGGGTGCCGTTATAGACCGAATTTGTTCCCATAAGAGATATTGTGAATTAGATTAGTCCGTTTCAGACCCCCAAAAATACACCTACAAAAGCACTTACAAAAATACACTTACATAATCGGTCGAGTTGGGAGCTGATCATTATGCGGGGGTCCACTGTATTTACATTATTTCTTATGGGGAAAATTGATTCGAAAATCGTCGCGCTTCCAGGAACAGGTTAATGACGATAAACGAGGGACCACTGTATAAGGAATCAACTCTCCTTGCATTTAAACTTTTTAATGGGTCACCATTTCACTTTTACAGTTTTTTCACGCCATACAAAAGATACGAACTACACATACTGTATATACTCGCAGGAGTATGTCAGAACCTTGTAGATGGTGGAATTTCAACTTAACCCCTTTGGAGTCGGTCCCGTACATCTACGGCTTAACACCCAGGTTCGGTCCTGTACTTATATGCCAAAATTCTAGAGCCTTCAAATGGAGCGGGAGAAAGCTGGTAGGCCTACATGTGAGAGAATGGGTCTGCGTGGTGAGTGTGTGCAGTATGGTAAAAATTGGGGCACCCGGATTGCATTGTGGGAATGGTAATTCAGTGCGCCTTGGTCACCAAGCCAAGCAGTAAGGAATACCTCACTCTCTGGAGAATTGGGACCCTTCCATTCCCAAGTGATAGTTCCAATACAGATAGATTTTTTTTAATTAAACACACTGGCCAATTCCCACCAAGGCAGGGTGGCCAGAAAAAGAAAAAATTTTCACCATCATTCACTCCATCACTGTCTTGCCAGAAGGGTTTTACACTACAGTTTTTAAACTGTAACATGAACTATTGGCAGAAAGGTGGGCTAGTGCAAAGATGAGTAGTGGGAGGGTTGAAGAGGGTTGGATGAGTTTTAAAAATGCAGTATTTAGAATGTGGGGCAGAAGTTTGTGGTTATAGCCAGCCACTGGATGGCGAAACGTCCACAACAAAGACAACCAGACGCCGCACATGTCTTAATTTCATCAGTAGTTGTAGTAGTAGTAGAAGAAGAAGAGGTAGTAGTGGTAGTGGTAGAAATGGGAAATAAGGATGACGAGCCAGTCAAAAACAAAGGAAGGGGAGCACTGCAAGAGAGCTAGATGCCCACAGAGGGAGAGCAAGCGCACAGAGGTGCGTGAAAGGGGAAGTGGTGAAATAAAAGGAGGAGGAACAGAAACACGAGACAGGAGAGAGAAAGACAACCCAGAGGAGAAAAGGAAAGAGGAAAGGGGAAGAGGAAGAAGAAAAAGAAAGAAAAAAATGAGGATTCAGGTTAAGTCATGGGTGTTTTGAAGTTTGGAGCATTTTACAATGTAGTGGGAGAGGATGGCATCTACAGAGACGAGGGCCAGGGCTAAGGTTCATACAAGGAAAGTTGTGTATTAGAGAGGATTCAACTAGACAGCGACTGTTCGAGTTGGAAGTAGGGAAGACAGTTTTAGCAGAAGACCAGTCAATAGGATGGCTATGATCTCTGACGTGACAGAAAAGAGCATTGTTAGTGTCGGCAAGCCTAACACTATTTTTGTGCTCCCTAAGTCTGTCAGAAAGAGATCGGCCAGTTTCTCCGAAGTATTGAAGAGGACAGGAGGAGCAAGAAATAGAGTAGACACCAGGAACATCTGTAGAGGGAGGAGAGGTATGAACGAGATTAGTGCGAAGAGTGTTAGTCTGGCGGAAGGTAAGCTTGATGTCTAAGGGACGGAGAGAATTGTTGAGATTAGAAAGACCGGAAATGTAGGGAAGGCAGAGGATAGAAGAGTTCCCATGAGTAGAGAATTTGGGAGAGAAGAAATTGCGTTTAGCACGTGAGAGGGCAGAGTCTATGAAATGGGAAGGGTAGCCAAGACGGGAGAACGAATTATGAAGAGTGGAAATTTCTGCTGGAAGGAACTGAGGATCACAGATGCGGAGGGCACGGAGAAAGAGGGAGATAAGAACACTTTTAGTGAATGTACATGCCACTGTGCATAGGTTTACGGTAAACGGAAAAGGTAAAACCTGTATCTGAGCGGTGGACATGGACATCAAGGAAAGGAAGCAAGGAATTAGATTCCCATTCAGCTTTAAACTTAATGGAAGGGGCAAGATTATTATGAGCTTCAAGAAAAGGTTGGAAGAGACTGGAGTCATGAGGCCACAGAGCAAAGATGTCATCCACATAGCGGAGCCAGAGTGAAGGTTGCACATCGAGGGTAGGAAGAACAACAGACTCAAAGGACATGTCCTTGATTTCTTTAGAGAGAAGGCCCATGAAGGGTTTCTTCATCTCATTATCCCCACTGATGTCTTTCTCGATCTGATCCACCTCTGTGTGGACTCTAACTCCTTTTCCTTCCAAGGGAAATATTATTCTCAAACCTTCGGTGTCTCTATGGGCTCTCCTCTCTCTCCTGTCCTTGCAAATCTTTACATGGAATACTTCGAGTCTGTTCTTCTTCCTACCCTCGATGTGCAACCTTCACTCTGGCTCCGCTGTGTGGATGACATCTTTGCTCTGTGGCCTCATGACTCCAGTCTCTTCCAACCTTTTCTTGAAGCTCTTAATAATCTTGCCCCTTCCATTAAGCTTCAAGCTGAATGGGAATCTAATTCCTTGCTTCCTTTCCTTGATGTCCATGTCCACCGCTCAGATACAGGTTTTACCTTTTCCGTTTACCGTAAACCTATGCACAGTGGCATGTACATTCACTACTTTTCCTATCATGCTTCCCCTGTCAAGAAAAGTGTTCTTATCTCCCTCTTTCTCCGTGCCCTCCGCATCTGTGATCCTCAGTTCCTTCCAGCAGAAATTTCCACTCTTCATAATTCGTTCTCCCATCTTGGCTACCCTTCCCATTTCATAGACTCTGCCCTCTCACGTGCTAAACGCAATTTCTTCTCTCCCAAACACTCTACTCATGGGAACTCTTCTATCCTCTGCCTTCCCTACATTTCCTGTCTTTCTAATCTCAACAATTCTCTCCGTCCCTTAGACATCAAGCTTACCTTCCGCCAGACTAACACTCTTTGCACTAATCTCGTTCATACCTCTCCCTCCCTCTACAGATGTTCCTGGTGTCTACTCTATTTCTTGCTCCTCCTGTCCTCTTCAATACTTCGGAGAAACTGGTCGATCTCTTTCTGACAGACTTAGGGAGCACAAAAATAGTGTTAGGCTTGCCAACACTAACAATGCTCTTTTCTGTCACGTCAGAGATCATAGCCATCCTATTGACTGGTCTTCTGCTAAAACTGTCTTCCCTACTTCCTACTCGAACAGTCGCCGTCT